GCCCTTATGCCTGCAAAATACCTTGTAAGGTCTAGGCAGTCTGAGTCCAGAGTTCGCTACATTTGTACTAAGCATAATCATTTTTTTTGTGGGCTCTTCCACCCCCTCTTGCACCTCAGTTTGTACTAGAAGATTTCCAGAGTTCAGAGAAGGGACAGGGTTCCTCTGGAACAGCAACAACTGGACCTTGAGGGGCACTTTCAGGTGCTTACACTAGTGCCAAGAGTGATTATCAGTTACACCTTAAAACAACAGCATCTGACAACAGAAAGCATGGTGCACAAATGGACTATTTATCAAATGCAGGAGTAGTATTTCTGCCACTGCTACCATGTGATGAATATACTCTAGTTTATTAGACTATCAGTTGAATACACTGACTTATGATCAAAATTTGTTCCATCCAAATTAAGTAGACAGTTTTGGCACATTTATTAAGTAATGATTGAAAGTAATAATAAAAGCTCTCCCAGTCATATTCTTTCCATAAAGACCGTGCAATACTGAATTTGAATGGTATTAAAAACATAATGAAAAAGCACAAAAATACATATCTAGAAATTTAAGTGGAGCACACGTGTTAGAACAAAAGGACCAAAATTCACACATATTGGGACATACAGACACCAGTGGTTCTGGAGTGGGATATCTGTAGCGTTACAACAAAATATGGTGACATTTTGCTCTTTTTATGTTACCTAGCTACACGATGTGAATTAATGGGTATCTCTGAGGGAGGGGAAAATGGTGATGTATCACTTTTATTAGAGCAAACTCTACCTCTAGCTCTACCTCTAGGACAGGGTTCTTAGTTCGAATTAATATCTGTTTGAGGTTTCTTGTGTTTTCAGAAGGTTAATTTTCCTAGCCTTTTTCTCTCAAGCTAGGAACCATGTCACAACTATTTAATAAATGTGCCAACGTGTCAAAGTCATTTTCAGAGATGAGTGAAAATGGAAATGAAGTCAGTGGGGTTACATCAGCAGTGAATTTGTCTCAAGGCAATACTAGGGAAATATTTCCGGAAGTGGAACCTTATCTGTGATGAATTTGATCCTGTTAAATCTCCCAGAAAAATAGTTTGCTCTGCTGTTTTGCTCTGAAGGCAGAATCTTTCTTGGGACAGCTGTCAGTTTGACCCTATGGAGGAAAAGGTTTCCTGAATTAAGTAACAGAGGCAGGTGCTAAGGTGCTAATGCAACTTTATCGTGTGAAGGAAAAGATGTTAAATCCGCATAGTTGAAATGTTTCATAAACATTATTATCTTATGTCAAAGACTTTGTATATGATGACAGACAAATCCTGCTCTCAATAGAGAAGTCATGGAAGTCTTATCTTAGAAAAAACACTTTTAAATGTACAGTGTCAGACAAATGCTGTCCCAAACACCTACAGGACAACCCATTTCCTGTGACACTGCCCCCAAATTATGGCTATATAATGTCTGTCTTCCTTCCTTGATGAGTGAAATTGAACAAATAAATATAATTTCTTTTTACCTTGCCAAGCTGGTGGTTATGTTTAATCATAGTATGTAAATCCTCTTCAAAAGCATCAAATCAGTTTTAGGTCTTATCATGTGTAATGCCGCTCAAATAAAAAATCAATATATTTGTAGATCCAAGCATTTCTGAATGAACCCTAAAAAAAATTAACAATGCTATTTATTTTCAATATCATTCTCACCCTCATCCTCCTGTCTTCCCAGGGCCCTCATCAGTTCTCACTTCTTCAGCTCAGGGAGGCTTCTTGAGCTTCAAGTTGAATTCCCCAGCCTTCCTACTAGACATGCTAGATAAAACTTCAGTGATATTATGTCCTGGGTTTCAGGAGCTCAAACCATGACACAAGACTCATTTCCATTATATGTTTTCAGTCTGCTTTCAGAAGAGGTTCTTACCATCGAAAAAATAACTCTGCAGGTTGTAACATAGACTAATTAATGCAAAAGTCCAAGAGCTCGGGGCCAGGGCAGGGAGGGGGAAGGCTGCGTCCCCCCAGAGGCAGCGCTGGCAGGACGTGGGGCCTGGCATTGGCATTTTGGGTTCTGAAATGGGAGGACTCCAAATCGGACAGCGGCTCGCACAGCTGCCCCAGCTGCAATACGCGAGCTCCATTTTAGGTCTACAAAATGTGCGCTGTGGTCTTCTGGCACTTTTTACCCAAAGGCTAAATTTGATGCAGTTCTTAGCAAAAACAAGCAAAAGCACTCAGAATATATTTTAGTTTAAATACGCAACTGGTTAAGAATTGAATAGTATTTCTGAGCTGGAATTACTGCAGCCTTTCAGAATAAGCAATGATGTACTGTCCCACTGTTATACATTATCTATAAAAAGTCTGGCCTGCTGTTTTGAATTGTCTAATACTGATTTGATCTTCTCATGCCTAACTGAAGGCTGGGCACAGTTCTAACAGAAGTGTTAGAACTGGTGAGCATTAGCATGCCCAGAATGCTTATACCACACTTGATTGTGTTTAGTTTAGTTTTCCTACTGAGCTCTCCCTGATAATAGCTCCAAAGCCTCTATTTATTGTAAGAAGCATCTTCTGTGTCTAGGCACGTGTACGGGTATGAATGCTATTGCCTGGAATACGAGGCTGGTTCCAGGAAGGAAACCTGCTTGGGGCAGCCAGCCAGATTTCCTTATGTGCAATGCTAAGGGACGCTGTCTTTGGCTGCTAATGAAATGACCCCTGTCATCTGGTTCCACCAGAGCACCGAGGTGGTGAGAGGCTCTGTTGCACTGTAAGTGAGGTACAAAAGGGAAAAGGGACATGGGTCTGTTCTGGATGTGTCTGCAGAGTAAAGCAGCAAGTCTCGCTGGTTTGATTTACCTACTCGTATTTACTCCTGGCCAGTGGCAGACACTGCAGTAGAAGAGTAAAACCTACAGAAAATCATGGTTTATTTTATTTTGTTGATACACAAGCTTAATTTACTATATGCTACAGACCGAAGTAATCACTGTTATAAGCAGTTTTTAATGTATTCCTATTACATAGAACAAATAGATGCAGTTGTAACTAGCATTTCAGGCTGTTCTTGAGCAGTGTTTCATATATGTGTAGGAGAAGAAAAGATTTTCAGCTTGCTCAAACAAAGCATTTGTGAAAATGTATTAACATCCGTACTACATCTGATATTAATAATATTACTGAAAAGCTAATAATGCAAATTACCAATTAAATATAAAGTGCAAAGAAATTAAACTCTCTGAAGACAAGATCTGTTTTCGTATTGCAGCACACGGTAAGATTTAAATCCTACTGCACACGTGTTGTTGGTAATGTTATGCTTTTTATAATCAGGATCGTTTTTACATGATATAGAGTGAGTAGTTTCTAAGATCTCACATTACCACAAAATTTGATAACCTTTAAGCTTAACATTCCAGTTACAGAGATTTTAGTATTTATCCGTATTACAAATATTCTGTTCCAAATGACTGGCTGTATTTCTACCACAGCAGGAAAAATTGTGAGAAATAAAAATAGCTCAACGTTTCATAGTTAAAAGATGTGATTTTCCTCTTGTCTTTCCTTTCAAATGTGGACACACACAACGGAATTTATGAATTCAGAAATAAGATTTTTAATAAGTACTCATAAATACTAATTGATCACAACTTTTTAAAGTTATCCAAAAATCTGATTAAATTATCATATTATATACAATAATCATACCTGATTATTTCATTCATAAAATGCGATGTAGATTAGATTACTAATTATATTTATTTTTCCCAATTTTCCTGTCCTTTTCATCCTGGATGATACACTCACGGTGATTGCTGTATGCAAATTCCTCGCACAGCTGCACTGAAGGTGATGCAGAGTTATTGCACTGACCTCAGCAACAACTTCATCAGGCCCTCGCCCCCTCTGATCTTGTCTTCATCGCACTGAAGGACTGAGCAGCCATTTTACCACAATAATGACCCTCTAGAACCAGTGTGAGGCTTCTCGTACATCTGCTGGTGCTAACCCTGCCCCACACCTATATATATTTACATTTACATTTATAATATATATACATATGTAGAAATTCTCAGAAGCTGCTCTTGTGTTATTTTCACAAGCACTACATGGCTTTCAGGTGCAATTTTGCAAAAAAAAAAAAAAAAAAACAAAACAAAACAAACTTTGTTCATTTAAATATGAAAAAAGTTATAATAATCATAAACTCATCAAATCATTTAGGTTGGAAGAGGCCTTTAAGATCACTGAGTCCAAGCATAATCAACAGAATTTCTTTTTCACGTCTTCACTTCAATGTGACCGTATTAAAACTTCATTGCGCCTTTCATTTTAGGAGATTTTGAGTTCTGGAGGTTAGTGTTATATAAAGTGACTCCTTACTAAATATCAGCAATAGGTGTCAGAAAGGCTTCCTTTCTCATCGGTACGATGAATACAACTACGGTGTGTGGAAAAGCTGGTGACCTCTCTGAGCAATAAAACCTAAGAAACACTAATAAACCCAGTTAAATTGCTGCATATAGTGTAGAATTAACCTTGTACAATGAAACTGGTCCTTCAGAGAGGACTTTTTCACAAATAGCAACATGACTGGCTTTGCATTCACTGTAGTGGTTTTGACAATTGATGCACATTTTATTTATAGTAACAAGTTGTGGGTTCTGTGGTGGGAGATGAGGACTTGTCAAGTTCTGTAAGTTGTGGTATTCAGGTTATCTTTATACATACACTTGGCCTTTACTGTCATTGTTTCATTCTCCTAAAGGCATGCTGTAGCCATACCCAAAGTCTCCAGCTGATATAGTATGGAAATATTAACAGAGTCCCTAATGTGTTAAATGCTTGAACCTGGAATCATATAAATGTGTCTTGCTTCCAGATAGTATCAGTAGCCAATTAGATTACATGCAATGATACAAATGGTGCTAATAGTCTTGCGTGTTTTCCCTGTACTTCTTCTCCATCGCCCTTTATTGCTGTATCTTCTGAATTCTCCCTTCATTTTCTTTCAACAAAGGCAAGTATGCCATGAGGGATCTGGTCCACCGACTGCCAGGCGCTAACAACAGCAACAGCTCAGCAAGCAAGGCCATGTCTGATGACACCGTTACTGCCATTTGCTGCACTCTGCACGAAGTCATCACTAAAAACATGGAGAATGCCAAGGCCTTACGAGACGCAGGCGGCATTGAGAAACTGGTTGGCATATCTAAGAGTAAAGGAGACAAGTATGTTTTGCAAATCACCTTGCACCTTTTTAACATCTCCAGTAGTTATTACTAGTCCTGAATGTGTTTGCCCCCTCTGTGCAATCGTGAGTTGAATTCTGTAGCTTCGTCAGAAATCGTATGTCCAGGGTGAAAGGTGACAAACAATACCAATAGCAAAAGCCTCTGCGGTAGGTTTATTTTTGACATAGCATCAGCGGTGCATGGAGTGCACTGCGTGTGCAGTTTAATGGAAGAGTAACTATCTACACTAACCGCCAGCTCTAAGCACTTCCAGAAGATCCTGATAAACGTTAGGGACCAGAGCTGTTGGTCTGCACCCTGCAGAAGGGGTGACATGCAAGTGGAGGGATCCTGTGAAAGGAAGGGACCTCACCGCAGTTCTGTTACTGCTCCTCTTGCTCTGGGAGCGAAGAATGTAAAGTTACTGTCCCTCTTCACAGCACCCTTTTCCTTGCCACCAGCTTGCTGGTAAGGTGGGGCATAATAGAGAAATGGATCCCCGGATTTTCCTAACACCTTGCTTCTGAGACAGTATTAGGATACCTACAGGCTACTTTGTGAGGCACCAAAACATGCAAAAATCTTACACACGACTGTGACATTTCCAGAGCAGCTATGGTTTCATCTTGTCTGTTTTCCTATGTGCGCACTCTTCATGAAGAGTTCACTCTTTATCCTTCTTTTGCCTAAAACAGATAGCCTGGGTCTCATATTTGTCAACCTGCAGAAGTATAGTGTCATGGGACTATGGCAGTTTGAAAACAAAAAGCCTTCACTGTAGTGTACAAAACCCATCAGTCCACCTACTCGAAGCTGTCATCACACAGCCTACTGCAGCATCAGAGCTCTAAAAGAGCCTCACAAAGCCAGGCCACAACCTGAAGGAAAGATTTATGCGCCCTCCATTTGGTATGAGAACTTATGCTCAACTATGTGATTGGAGCATTGCCAATACAACTTGATCACGTTTCTTTTCCTCTATTGTCACCTTTTCCTTTTCATACCAAATTCATTATTGAAACATTCTCACATTCTGATTGTAAGGGGTGAAAAATTGTAGTGTAACAAAGTATGTGATTCCAGTTGTGGGAGCTCCCCATGCTCTTCCAATTTATTTACATTTGCATTTTTATTATTATTAGAACTATTTAAATTTTTTATTTATATTTCCTAGGTCAAATGTATTGATATTGCAAGCAGGTTCATATCCATTTCTCTTAAGTTGAATGTGTCTTTCCTCAGAATAATGCATTTGTCCACCTGTTCATTATCTGGTAGAGATTATTAATGCCGGTTGAGTCTAGATTTTTCAAAGTATCATGAGCAGTTTTAGGAGGATCCAAGGGTATGATTCCCTGTCTAAGTATCGCTCATAACTGTGAAAGACATATCTATGTTGAATGGAAGTATTTAGCCCAGACAGTGCTGAGTAATTCCAAAATGCCCTCCCAAATCATGATACGTAACTCTCCTCTCAAGTACTTGGAGTTGCAGTCCTGTGTTATTACTGTTACAGGTTGCACAGTTCTAAAACGAGAAACCTTGTCAGCTCACGGTGCTACAAATGCCAATTTTAAGTGGAAGTTCCATTTTTCAGCTTTCAGAAATGTTAGTATTGCTCACTATTGCTTTGGTTTGGCTTCTTAAATCAGAATCGCTGGTTGTTGGACTGATAGGAAGTTCTGGCATGCTCACTTTAATACAGTAAAACGCCTCAGTATGAATTTATCTCGTCCAATATGAAGCGTCTGCTTCTACAAGTGCCGGACACTAGCCTGGCCGTGCATCCTGGTAGGTATCAGTGCCAGGAGCGTGGGGCTGGCCCCATTAGTCTTTGGAACATGCCCAGGGCTTGAGCCCTTCCCCCGTATGACAGCACGAGAGCGCTGGTGTTCGTGAGGTCATACTGGCCAAGCCCCTTTTTTTTCCTGTAGTTCCTGTTTCTCCTCAGTACTCACAGTCTGGTTGGCACAGTTAGTTTCCTGGTTACTCCATGCTACCAGCACCCCACTAGCCAGTACAGCTGGGAGTACAATAAAAACAATTACGCTTCAAAGGGTTTATCAAATTCCTGTTTATTCACCAATTACCCACCTACTGCTGTACTCTGGGTGAGAAATGGAAGAAAAAGGGGGGGGGAAAAAGCACCTAATAAACTACTAGGAAAATACTGGATAAGTTAATTGAATCAGTTGTGTCATGAACAGTGCTTTACCAGCTCGAGTGTCAGCCTACCAGTGGTCCTTCTCAGAGGTCTCAGGGTACACCCGAGCCTGGCCCCTGCGAAGACTTCCTGCCCAGACCAGTAACATATGTCACTGGTTTTATGGTTTCTCTTCGGTTTTGCAACCCATGTGCCTTTCCTGAGCGAAACACGAATCGCCTCAATGACTGCCCCAAACTCCATCAATCCTCACACCAGACTTTGGCCTTTGCAAGGTTTTCAAGCACTCCACTGCTTTATGGGTATTATTGGTACAGCACAGTGCATGCTTCCTCAACGGGCTGGGTTATCTTCCCAGTCCTATTCTATTTGACCCTTCTTCACTGAGCTGAATACTCTCTAATACATTTTTTTAGATTTATTTTTTTTTTAAGTTACATATCCCAAGAGGAATATATGACTCCAACTGATTCTAACAATGGTTTAGAGCTTCTTGCAAAGTCTTTCTGAAGAGAAAGTCCATATGAAGTTACATATGGTTTTCAATATGACATTGTATTGCCATCATTAAAGGGTAATGGTGTGAGCAAGGTGCAAGTCCTAATTTGAATTCCTAATGGAATTTGTCATGGCTTTTTATAATCAGTTGTATTTCTGCATCTTGGCTCTGCACTTCAAAAACAGCACTCATCACCCATCTAGAGTGTTTCTTTTGGCCACTGCGCAGAGGCACTTAATGCGTTGAGCACGCTGGCAAGAGTTGAAGTTTGACAGCTCATAGAGGAAGAAACTCTAGCTCTAAGTTTTTGTCCTTTAAGCCAAAAGCTGTAGCCAGGACATCTTCTTAGATGTACATAATACCGGTTGGGTCCTCAACAATTCTGCCAATGGCTACCTCTCCCATTCCTCTTACTATGCTCTCAGCATGAATCCCTGTTCTCAGTGTACTGAGGAACACACATTTCGCTCCTCACTGAATAATTAGTACTACAGAAATAATATGTATGCCCTTGCTTAAACACACTTTGGTCTCCCAGAAAACAACCAAAGATCTTATGGTACATTTGACGCACACTTTGATTATGGGTTTAAATCCATAGCAATGCATTTGAAAGTTGGGATGAATGGAGTCTTGTACTTAACAGTCTCTTTCTCACTCTTTCTTTCTTTCTCTCTCCCTTTTTAATATATGTGTGTAACAGGCATTCGCCAAAAGTGGTGAAAGCAGCATCTCAGGTCCTCAATAGTATGTGGCAGTACAGAGACCTGAGAAGTCTCTACAAGAAGGTAAGGCTTGGGTTTTTTCTAGATTTATCATCTTGCATACAATTACCCAAATTTGGGGGCTGAGAGACTTTAGACCAAAACATTTATATGACTGGAAATTCACCTAGTTTAAAATTTCAGATCCTTGAAGATAGGAGTTTTTCCCTCACTTCTACTTTTAAGATAGAAATACCTTTTGAAAATATATGTGGTGGTGAAAAGGAGAAGTGAATTTGATTTTCAAAAGAATTCGTACAAAAGGTGCTGGATCTGACAGCCCTGGAGTGTAAAGTTCTCTGTTCATAGAACAAACCTTTGTAACCTCTCCTACTGTACCTTTCCTTCTTACACCTCCCCGCCCTGTCCTGAGGTGATTACCAGATTTATCAGCCCTTCAGCTCCCAAATTTCCTCATGAGAATGTAAACAAGAGTATCTGAAGGCATGGTGTGTAGGGACCAGTTACACCTGGAGCTGGGCTGAAACTTGATAGCTTCACTTCCAATCAGCTGGCAGACAGTAGCACCATATACTTGGTTTTCAGACGGTCTATGGAGTCTATAGTACCATACCATTCCCACAGGCCTGCTGGCCTCTTAAAAATGAATTGCAATACAGTAATACAGGTCTGTGAAACAACATCCTATATAGCTTTTAAAACGCATCTACTTAATAAATGACAGCATTTAAAGTCATTCTTGCTGAATATTTTCAAACTGAATTGCATTCCATGTGTGTATCAGCCTGCAGATTTAGTTCTCAGAGGTCTTCTTGCTACATGGAATTTCACAGCTTATCTAACTGATATTTGTATTTGTAATCTCAGCAAAGAGAGCTTCATGTGGCTCAAAAGTTCAGGTCCTAGTTAAGGGTGAGGCAGAAGAATGGTGTAGTGGTGAGGGTTCACAGTGGGGTAGTCCGTGTTGTATGTATTTTGCACAAGAAAAGAACTTAGTTACATGAAATGTACGCACCAAATCTCAAACGTCAGAGGCTGACCTTCTGTTTGAAATGCTGTACTTCTGCGTGCTTCAGCCCTGCTTGTGTCAAGTCTGAGGAGTAAGGAAGATGATTATTGAGTCTCTCCCATTGTTCACTTCCAGTATTTTCAGTCATCCTTGACAGCCCTAGGGATACCATATGTGAAGATGTTCCGTGTAACGAGCTGGTACTCAACTGTCCCATTAAGAGGTGGGAACAAACATGAGCTAGAGTAGGCTTTTCTTGACGCAGGGCAGTAACACACTGAAAGTGTGCGTAGCCTGACTTCCGTGCATGTGGGTGGCTGCACTGTAGAGGCTGAACTTTATTGCACCATAATCTCTTAGTGGTTCTTACAACGTCTGGCTCATTTCCAACCTTCTGTCTGTGTGTATATGCTGAGACAGAAAAGCAGTTTCTGGGGTTGCTCTGTGCACGAGGTAATCTATATGCTGTATGGCTTCTGAGTATCCTGCTACCTAAAGGCCATGCTGGCAGCTGCCAATGTGAATGCCTGGTAATGTACTTACATACTAAGTGTGCCTGGGTACTAAGTACTTTGCAGGCTTAAAAGAACATTTTCTGCAGCCATAAATACATACTTGTGGTATGGAAAATAGAGCAGGCTAGCCTTTGAGGTAGCTTCGAGGACACTCAAAGCAGACAGATTGTCTCTATTCTCAGGAGGCATTTTATTAATCTCTATATTGGCTAATTCCTACAGGCTTCACAAAATCTTAAAATGAAGGTCAGTCTCTGCTACATATATGTATACTCATTACACATGCTGCTAAGCCTTGTATAAATACAGTTTCTTTTAATCAACATGTTCAGTTAATTTAAAATGATCCCGTTCATTAGAAGATATACAGTATTCTTTATAAAGTCATAGTATTTATTAAACTTGCCTATAGTAGGCTGTTATGCTGTGTCCCTGAATTTCACCACTGTTGGGAAAATGATGGTTTTATGATAGGAAAATTAGAAAATTTTGCATTATACAAATAGTCACCTAGTTATGTAATATAAAGGTACTGCATCAATGCAGTCTTTATTTTGTCCCAATAAAATCCATCATGAGTGAACATATAGTTGACAGTATAATATGATCAGCACTTTGCAGTATCTTGCCCTTGCCTTTTTTGAAGTGCAGGTAAATCCCATTGCATAACCATCAGCAATTTCTTCCTATGTACTTAAATATTTACACAATTACTTTCAAAGAATTGGTGGCCTACAGAGAGGCACAGTTTTGTATTGTAATACACGGAAATGACAAGCATTACACCACATTTAAGAAAAAGCAGCAGCATTTACTGTATTGTTTGAGAAACGGTGTAACCAAATAGTTTGAATTGTAGTGTATTTTAGAGCTGCATGTTCACAGTAGAGTAAGTATGGAGAGATAAAAAGAAGTATTGTCCTTTGTATTAATGGGGAAAGAAGGCAATATATGTTTACTACTGATACAGTAGTAGTCAGTATATTTAGTCCAAATACAACTGCGTCGGCAAAACCATGAAAACCTCTTTCAGTTTTCTAATTTTGCTCAGCATTGCAGGAATCATCCCGTAACTGGCAGAATAGAAAGTCCACTGACAGAAAGTCCATCCAGAGATGGGGTTTGGTGTGGTCGCCTAACGACTTGCCACACCTGTGAATGACCAAAAGCCGAGAAGCGCGTAGGCACCGATTCCCCACTCGCAGCCCTCCCTGGTAAACTCTGGCTGTGAAGTGGAGAGAAACGCAGGAGTCAAACTAGTCCCCCAGCTGCTGCCAGTGCTGGGGCAGCCCTACGGAGGGTCCCTGCAAGCTCCAGTCCCATCGTGGATGAGCCAGGTCTTCAGCCTTAACCACGGCTGTAGCAGTAACATGCCCGTGTAGTGAACCCTGAATGAAGCAGCCTCTCAGGACACTGTCAAGATCGTCTGTTGCATAAAAAATAGCCCCAATTTTACAGATGTCAGGGTGCCAGCTTCAGCTATGTTCCTCGAGGAGAATAGTAGTGTGCGTGGATTTCATCTGCTCAGTGTCTGACAGACAACACCTTTTTCTCTGGGCTTTTCAAAGCCAAAAACTGTAGCAGCAACTGCAACGACTCCGTTAACTTCATGGACCAAATCAAGCAATATAAGCTGTCTCAAGGTCATAGTGGATCTGGCTAAGAATACAGACAGTATCTTATGACAACACAAAATTTTAAGGTCTTATCCATCTTTTTTATCCTGAAAAATGCTAAATTATACCATAAATCAGTGAGATGGGAGGCATAGAAAATTAAATCCAGTAAGCCAGGTTAAGCTAGAGATACATTTCTGGAAAAAGTGTTTCAGGCTATCTCATTTGCTCCGTTTAAACAGAAGGGCAGAGCAGGTGCATAGAACAAACCCTGCAAGCAACGTAGCTCTGGCAGTCCAGAGCTCAGAGTTCTGGTAACAGGAACTTCTCTGCAGTGGGCTGATCCTGCTCCCAGTGAAAGCGATGATAAAGCCCTATTGATTTCACGGGTCCTTTCTATAAGGCCCCGAAAGCAAGAGCTGTAACTTTTGCAGCCGGTTAAACTTCACTGGGGAGGCAGGCTAACTAACCTGCAGCGTCCAATGTGTCGTGGGATCCCAAAGATCCTAGAAAAAATAAGGGTTGGAGGTTTGCCTTTTCCTTCCGTTCAGTTTGCCGGTGCAGAAACGTTGTGACAATTAATAGCTAATACAAGAGGAGTTGCTCCCTTTAAACTGTTGGTCTCTCTTCTCAAATAGCATTTTAGTCTCTGAAAAGAACGCTCTGATGGAGACTGAAGCTTTTCTGGCTCTGGAGACTGATGGATAGGTTTCTAACTTCCTACAGACTGAGCTGCAAACTCAAGGAGGAGGCATGAGCTTTGTTGTCTCAGTTTCCACTTGAAAAGCTCTCTAAGTCCACAATACCCTAGGCACTGTGTTTGCAGAGCTACATCACACCCTGTACTCTCCACTGACAGGTTCTATCCAGTGTGCTAGGATTTCCAGTTCATACCTGTGTTGTGGCTTTAGTGGGACACGGACTTGTTAGGCTGGGCTGGCATGGAAAAGGCACAGGAAGTAAAGAGTCAGCGTTCACGTCTGTCAGTGAGGTGACAGTGTTCACTGCCCTTTTGTAGGCTTGTGCTTTGGGGAAAAAGGATTTCACTCCTTTGTATGGTTAATTTGGCACTATCGTAACAGTCCAACAAGGAAAAGTTGTAATATGCATAAATGTTTCCAGTCCTAAAATTATAGAAATATATATATATATATATATATATTACAGTCCAAACAGTCCAAGAGGAAACAGTGGATTTAGTCTTGAAGTGAAGGACTTGCCAGTCATCCCAGAAGTTTAACTTGCGGGTCCTTCATCATGGAAGAGTTCACAGGAAATACTGCTCAGTTTGCTGAGCAATAGCTGAAACAGAAATGTAATCTGAAAAAAATCCCAGCAAGAGGAAAACAAGGTTCAGGTTCAGTCCCACATAAACAGTGTTTAGATTATTTAGAGGGATTCATTTCTAAATACTGCTAAATCTTAGCAAGTAAAAAAGAGGTGATCATCACATTTTTTTTTTTTTTAAGTAGATGAAATAGTCTCCCAAAGAGTGACTTTAATGTCATGTCATTTTCAAACTTCTTTGTTCTCTACAAGACTCATATTTTCGTAAATGATCACTTATCTGCCTCTGTTGTTGTAAGTCCATTCTGAAGTACTTAAAATCTGCTTTGGAAGAGTGCTTAATGGTGACATGATCCCTGGCCCCATGGGGGGGTCAGGAGCTCAGCGCTTACAAAAACGCAGGTAGAGAAGCTGTGTTGCTTGTCCCCGTGCTTCAGACTCATGGTAGACCTCTCTGCTTCAAGCAGCTTGGTAACCTGTACAGTCAGCAGGAAAAATAAGTGCTACTTACAGTCTCCACAGAGAGGTCCTGTCCCATTTATGTTTAGCCACCTAAGCAAGGTGAAAAGGAGCCACTACGGTGATTTTTTAAAGTCACCTATTTCCAACTCAGCAACACTGGACCCCACGCCAGTCTCGAGGCTATTAGCTGGTTGAAGATTTGGGGAAACCTTAGAAAAAATGGATGTGACTGTAAGAGAGCAGATTTCCCTTAGCTGGTAAACTCTTATCTATCTCAATATTTAAGAAAATAACCAACTGCTCCTAAACACAGATAGCTTGTTAAATTACATGAGGAAATTTGAGCAAAAGGGTTGTGCTAAATGAGCTTAACAAGAAAGAAAATTTGCTAGCTAAAACCAAGCTTCAATTAGCATTAAATGCGTATAATATTAAAGAGCTGGAGGAGCCGTCAGGAAGAATATGTTTTCTATTAATTGGTTTGCTTTGCCTAACCACTTAGGCTCCAATAAAACATGTTTTCATTCTATCATTACGTTTAAACTTATTTTGTCTTCCAGTATGTAAGTAGAGATCACAATGAATTTGCAGAAATTATTTTTCTTTCCCATTTATTATCGTAGATTTCTGCTCCGCATGGAATAATAGAAATGTCTGTCCTTTTCACCTGCCATAGGAATAAAAATGCAACCAATTATTTGAAACCAGGCAGTCTGTTAGAGGCAGTTGTCCTTCAGCGTGTAGTGTGCCATTTACAACGGGGATACTGTTGTGATAAGCATTTAATGAAGTCAGAGTAGTCACTCTGAAGATGGCCTTGTCTGTCATTGGCTGGAAAGATATTTAGAATTGCCTGAAGCCTTCGAAGCAGTTAAGCCAGTCCAGATCTAGAAAAGGACTCTCTTTCCGTGTGACTTTCAAAATAATAAAATGATGACTCTGTGAGAAGGCCCTATATGGCTAAATGTTCCATGAAAATTGCCAACAATAAACTTCAAAACCCTAGTCAAGGAGTTTTAAAATCTAAAGTATGTTCTTAAGCAAAATGTACCTACTCACCCTTTAAAAATGTTAATTACATCGTGCTATCATGTAGACTCGGAACACATCGTTTAGATTTTCTTCTGGTAAGGTTATCGTCAGTCAGACGTCCCTCAAAAAGGTGCTGGTTTACCTTAAATTTATCTACCAAAAAGGTCTGTGCAGAACTTAAGCCCTACATTACGGATCTAAATTCTGAATCCAGAGCATAACAGTTCCTCCAAGAAGTGGCATGACTTGAATGAACTATTCATGTGCTCAAATTGTTCATGAGCATATGTATTCGGCAGTGCTGAGTTTTCAGCAGGGATTAATTTATTTCTGTGCAATTGGTAAGGCCTTTTTCAGATGAATATGTCACCCTTTTAGAAAAAGGATGGATTAATTTAAGATAACCCCCCCACTGTAATATAAAGGTAAATTATTATTATTATTATTATTATTACAGAGAAGGCATTGTCTAGAGCCCATTTTTATATTAACTATGAAAATGCAAGTACCTGATTAATAAATGATTGACTGATTGATTGATTTATGGCAGTGGTCGGCCCCAAGCTTCAGTGTGACTGATGACAGAGGATTTTCACCAACCCACCCCTCTGGGTCATGGCACGCTCAGCATACTCACTCCCAGAATCAAGAAACCAGAATCTATTCCCCACCGCAGGTATTCTGGCTGTCAGCTGACCAGCGTTGAATTGTTATGTTTCATGCATACTGAGATCTGTACCCAAAAGAGACTCCTACAGGAGGCGTTTGAATCAAAAGTGGCAAAGCCTTGCTAGGGAATATATTTTTAAATTATACAGTTTCATTTACTGAACCCTGTAGGTTCTAGATGGAAAGCACATCGCTTCGCTTAGGAGAGCAGCCCCGTTCGTTTCAGTTGCGTGAGGAAGGCGTGCGGCGTTTTCCTCCCTCCGAGGACAGCAGAGGGTGACAAGCGCATTACATTCAGTTCCCCGACAAGCTTTCTACCACTTCTGTAATCTCGTTTTTGATTGTCTGAACCTATCAAACAGAAAAGCAGTTCTTGATAAGCGCTATGTTGCAATGGCAGATTAAATTTATCAAGCTCTTTGATTTCTTTTCTGGCCCAATGGCATCTCTAGCAATAGCTGCGTACTTCAGTAAGAGGACCGCAGGCAAACTGGGGTATCTGTAGAAAAATCAGTGCGTTCAGGAGTCAATTAAATTCTTAAAATGTTAATTTTCAAAATCTCTATTAAAAATAGCAACAAAGATTTCTTTCAGACATAAGTACAGTTGATGAGAATTAGCACCTCAACTGTAAATGTCTGGGGATTTTTATTTTGGAGGCACTATTTAATTTTAGGTACAAAAATTCCATTTCCTTAACCAAGTGTAGTTTGTTTTCCTCCTAATAGTTTTTCCATAAGAAAATGTGACTCTACGATATTATTGCAAAACCAAAATACCTTCCACATATGAACATCATTCAAGTAAATCCATGCAGAAACCTTTACATATATGTCTGTGTATTATTTCTGATAAATTATTTAGAGAAAATAGGAATTTACTTGGTTTTGCTGGTCACATAGGACGTCGTAGTTCTGCTATTTCTTTCCATTTATTTTTTTTTCTACTAAGTTTGCCTGCAAGAGAGAAAACATCAGAGAAGATCTGATTTAAGTACTTTTGACATAGATATCTTTCAAGCTTAGGGTAAATGCTTTTAATCTTTAGCTAACAGAAATATGATATTTAAAACGCCCAGCATTTCATCGTCTGATATATAACACTACTTTCTTTTGTTAATCAGGAATTAAGCAAATTCCTAAATTGATTTTAAATAAAGGAAATGTGGACATTTTCTGTGGGATTAACATATTCAAGCCTTTTTAAAGCATCGCATGAGTAATTTTAGGAGATAGAGATACTACAACGGACGTAGCAAAAATTATAGTCTTCAAATAAATACTTTATTTTTTTCTTTCTGTTTCAATCTTTCTTGCCTAAAAACACGCTATTCGCATTTAAGTAAGCATTTTAAATGTGGGTTTTTATCAATGGCAATCTTGTTAAATGCTTAATTATTAAATTGTCCTTGGTTTCAGTGCTGGAGAAAAAGTTGGTATTACTGATTTTTGTGTGTGTGTGTTGAATTATTATTAATTCTATATTTTATGCTGTATATTAGTTTCCAGTGTTCATGTAAGATAGGTTTACCTTTCCCAATGCACATGCAAATATGAAGTATTTCTTCATTAAAGCAAAGGCATATTTTCTAATCTGCAGGAAATAACAGGTAGTAGCTGCACACCAAAGAACAATCTATTAATCTTTTCACATTCTTTCTTAGAGACACAAAACCTCTTCAGTGGGATGATACATTAGTCTGGAATTTTTTCTTTTTACCTTGATGCTACTTTTTTCAACATAATTAGCACTAGGCAGCATCACTGTATAGTATAATCTTATCATTTAACTTACATCCTCTTTTGACTGTGTATGCCTTCCGAGGGATTGGTTTTGTAAGAAACATTCAAAACTTTTGTCAAGTGAATTTTAACATTTGTGGCTTTTTCAGTGCCAGTTACCTGCTTAAATATTGTCTATATAATGGGAATTTACATATCATGAGCAAAACCATGAACCTTAAAGAGGAAGTTGTGCAAATAAATTAAGCTGAGCTATACAGATAAAAAGTTTGGCACATGCCGTATTCAGAAGTATTCACACATGGAAAATATGGTGTATAAACTCTACTTAAATTTTTAAAAAGAAAAGGGAGATTGGGGAGAGAGATTCTCAGCATGTGGCAAAACACAAATAATACGTCTCGGTGAAGACACCATTTACATCATTGTAAATCATGTGGCTAGTTTTTAAGAAGAGCGATGTAGAAGAAAAGACAAAATTTCTGTCTAAAAATATTGCAAACTACGAAGTCAAACTGAATGTTATTTCAATTTTATTTTAATGCAAATAATTATCATTTTACTTGTGCAGTCAAGTAGATCATATTCTGATTTTCCTAGCTTATATATCATAGCAAGTAACATTCTTCCTAGTGCCTTCTAACCCCCTTTGAGTTTATTAACAGTATCAAAAAATACTAGAAAGATAGGGGATTGCCATTATGTTATTAGAATTTGTTTTATATTTTACATGGCCTAAAGATGGTATAAAATCTTTTGGAATCCAAAATCTTAATATTCTTACCTATACAACAATGACAACTCTTGATGGAGTATCAAAATTTGTGTTTCTGCACCAGCTGGTAGAGGGAGATGTTTTCAAATGTTTTATGCTTCTGAATTCCATCGTTTACTGTATAATAGACTTAAGTTATTTTAATTATTTTGCATTTTACGTAGTTAAATTTTCTGTGATACTCTCAACAAAGGTTTATTTAGTATGCAGTGTCACCTACCATTACTTCAGTCATGTTTCACTTATTCCAGTATTTATATGTTTCTTTCAACAACATTTTCCATGTTTACCATGGTATTTAAAATACCAGCAGTAATCTAAGGTACCGTCTGTACCGAACCGAAGATTCGATACTGATGGTAGTATTTTCATGAAAACAATCTGTGTAGGCAAAGCTAGACCTTGCCCACCCTTACGCTGTTTTGGTGCGGGCTTTTTTACCGAATGATATCCAAGAGAGCCAGATATGATGACTAAGCACAAATAAAGCCAAACCACTGACTTTTAGTTGCACTCCTTGCAAATACTTGCATGTCCGTGTGACAACGTGTCCGCATTTTTGCTGGTAAATATCTATATGTTCATATAGGTGTACACAAATGGGGGGTTGTATAAGTAAAGCATACTCACAGCACAGCATGGATGTAGAAGATGCCGCCTTTAAGCATCGTGTCTGAACAAAGAGAGCTTGGGAATATGTAAAGGAATAAACCTTAATAGTTTGAGCTGTGAGCTTGGGAAGAAGTATCTGCAGCTATACCTGACTGTTGCTTTTCCTGTGAGGGCCTTAAAGGCATGATAGTGCTTTCCTTTAACGTTGAGAATTGTAGTAAGTGGTGATTCAACAACCAAACTTAACAGTAACTCTTCTAAATTATCAGGAAGAAGCGCACGGAAGCTGACACCATTCTCATCCAAAAGCTATTAGACTCAAGAGGCGATAAACAAATAAGAATCAAAGTCTGTCCAAACAGTTCTCTAGGATGAGCCAGACATAGATGTGATGCTAAAGTATCCTCAGCACTGACAGTGAGTCTCATGATAAGCTCTCGCTGACTTAGGTGAGAATGACTAGGTATTTTTCACTTGAAAACACAAGTCCATGTTAAGGTTACTAAGTACAGATTTTAAAGCCTGTCTCTAAAGTACTCCACCTTTTGAACTTTTCTGAATAAAAGAAAAATTAAAATGAAGCCCAAGAGTCAATATCTTTGACTTAGAGCCTTCTTTCTGAAGGGAACTGTATAACTGAAGTTTCCGAAATATCCTTAGGGTAGAGGTACGAGTAGGCATCCAGAATCTGGAGGGTTATGCATAAGTGAAAGGTCACATCTGCAGAATTTTTCTTCTCAAAAGTACGGTTCCTCAGAATAATATCGGATTGCAATACTTGAATACAAAGTAGATACCTAAGAAAATTATCTGCATGTCTTTCAGGACTGGGAACATTTTTAGTCGACTTAAGTAATGTATTAAATATTTTAAAACAAATATAAATAACATTAATTAATGGCAAACATAGTTTAGCTGGATTCAGATGTACAATACTGAAAAGAATTCAAAAGTCTTTCTAAAGACTTTGAAAAGTATTTTAAAGATAAATGCTAAGAGAAACCGTATTTAATTCATGTCAATCTTTTTCTCCAAAATTCAAGGAGCATGATTTCTACCATTCAGAACAAGATAGCATTTTTAATTAACTTATATCCTTGTTGTTTGCATATATAGGTTCAGACACATGTGTAGTAAAGAGTATGGGTGAGAAACTCAGTTTCTCCCAGCAAACTTGAACAGGTATGTTGAATTGCTGCTTTCAGTTTTGCAAATGAATCGAATCAGTAGAACTTTTCCTAATAGTGGTAGCATATGCAAGAAGCACAGAGGGAATGGAAGTCAAATTCAATTTACTACTATGTCAATCAAGCCATATTTTCTTTTCAGAGGTAAATAGTCTAGCTGTGACGGTCTGATGCATAACACTGGGCATCTTTGGCTGATGCTCCTCTGTTGCTGTACTTATGCTATCATCATCCTTATTCTTCTGGGTCCTATAAGGAGGTTAAAAGTGTTTGTTTAATGTGGCCAGTACATGTAAATTCAATCAAAGTTCAATGAAATATTAAGCTGGTGCATCAATATCCTACTTTCAGTTCTTTGATGTTCTGCATGATCTAATAACGGGTGGGGAACAAATTGCTCTCCTTCTCATTTCTTCCCTTTCCCTTCCTAAAACTGCTAACAGAATTCAAAAATGGCCTAAATAAGTCTGCCATTTCATACTTGAAGAAAAAAACCTTGTATTTTGAAAGGAGTCTCTTTTGTAGTAGGTGTGCTTTGTTCTGAGGTTTTTTACTTCATTTACTAGCTGGTACAGTTTGTCTTCATAAAAGAGCTATGGCTTCTTCTTCCTGCCGAAAGTAGAAAAGAAAAGTTTCACTGACAGTTTCTAAATTGTTTTTCTTACTTTTAATTTTACAAAGTGCTTTTAGA